TGGGCACGCCCTATTCGGAGTGGTGTGCGCCGCACCGTCGGGTCTTTTCTGCCGACCTGACGCCTTTTCTTGCCGATGAATCGGCGTCGGGAACACCACCGGAAGTCGGACAAAGGGATAACACTGATTGGCTGTTCAGCTAGCGAATCAGTGCATGAGAAGCGTTAACGGAAGTGAGGGAGGTAAACAAATGATTTAAAATGGAAGATGGAACACACACGGACGGCTATTTCACCTCATCGGTTTATAGAGCTCCTGTTCATTCATGTTTTCAATGGACGAGAGTGAAAATGGAAAGAAAAACGCTATTTGTTGTTTGTTTATATCACGGAGTCTGTTCTTCTTCTCTGTTTTCCGGTTGTTGCCTCTTTTTAATGATGAATACACACTACCGCCGCCTGTTGGTAAGGAGAGTTATTGCCACTCACGCATGCGCAGTTCATACGTGCTCGGCTCGGATTTGCGGTGTGTTCCAGTGCGCGAAGTCGGCAAATACGCAGGAGAGTCCGGCGATGCAACAGTCGGTGTCGGCGTCGGCGACGGCGACTTCTCAGGTGACTGGCCGGTGTATCTGGGCCTTTAGCATTAAATCAGAGTCACATTTCGGTGCACTTGGCGAAAGTAAGTCCAATTTTCACGTCTTTTTTTAGTCTCTACTTTGGGTTAGGGTCCCTACACTGACTTTGGAGGGAAATATCAGGCTCTTTAGCAGAAAAATAGTTTCAGCAGCTAGTAAAAATCTTTGTCTTTCTGCTGTTCTTGCAAAAACAGGGAGCTTACAGTTCCATTTGAACCCGTACATCTTGAAGCGTTTACATGTCTGGTGGTGAAGTTGGTTTATTTCCTAAAGTAATATTTTTACTTAGAAATTATGATTTTTTAAATGTCTTGTTGAATCATTAAAAAATGTTGCTACAGAGCTTGTTTTTTTAACAATAATCTAAAAGTAAAAAAAGTAATACATTTTCCCTTTGTTGGGGAAAACCAGGGTTATGATCGTTTACTTGGTTGGCAAACAGAAATACATCAACACTGCTGAACACTACAACAACCTATAATATGATTTGGAAAACTGCAAAAATCAGCTTACAATACCCAGGGTTCATACACTTTTTCACCAATGATTTTCAATGACTTCTCCATGACCTTTACCTAATTTTCCATGACCAAAACATTATTCTTTCTGAGCGGTGCCACTGAAATAGTTTATTTGAACACGGAACAGGAAAATAAGGTCTGCATATTAAACATGTTGTGCTTACTAGCTTCTACACGCTAAAGCAACTTAAATCTCTCACCAGCAAAACACCTCGTCAGTTAAAAGCCATTTTACGTTTCATTACGACACGATACAGTATTTATTATCATTATAGTATTACTATTTCGGCGATTAGATAAAATATAAATTATATTTGATGCAACTTTAGTTAAATTTCCATGACTTTTCCAAAACTTTGGGAAAAATATTGTTTTCCAGGGCCTGGAATTAGCATTTTGAATTTCCATGACTTTTCCAGGTTTTGAAAGACCGTAAGAACCCTTAATACCAATTATGTGCAATATATATATATATATGCCGTTAATAACTGTGCAATATATACCTGTCTGCTATATATAACCAAGTCAAAGCGCAGAGGGGACCTTGCTTTCTCTGCTGCCTGTGCAACGACCTGCCCTTGCTAATCAGCAAGCTCCCACACTGTCTGTTTTGTCTGTACAGTACTTTGGTCTGGAGGTTTTAAAGTGCTATATAAATAAAGTTGGATTGGATACCTCAGAATTGTTACAGGATGTGTATTTTGTAAATTCGTTTGTATCTTTAATATGTTTTAAGCTTCTTGGTTAACATTTGGCTCTTTTCTTGCTGTAACAAATGCAAATGTCCCCTCAGTGGGACGAATAGAGGTTTTCTGTTTCACTCACGGTGCTGAAAATGCTGCGCTGTATATCTTGTGAGGAGGATCCCAAATCCTTCAATGAGGGCGAGCAGAATCCCCCCCATCATGGCCGAGCCCACCATGGTCAACGGCCCACCTGCAGACAAACACATTCAACAGCATGAGGTGTACAATAATAACGAGTACATCACCTTGCTTCAACAGCAGCCTCACGCGTAAAGCCCCCAGACCAGAAAGATCTCGTATGTTTTATACACCTAAAACACACACGAACATATACACTTGAAACGATACGTGGCAGAGATGTTCAAACCGTATACAGTCATATGTTGCATCCTCTGTCTCCTCTGAGATTTACATGCTAATGTGTACAACTGCTGTTGAAGACTTCAGCTGATCGCCTAGATGGGCCTTTTTTCTGTAAACTAAATGAATAACACATTGTTTATTATAGATTATCTTAAAGGTCCCATGTCATGCTTTTCTGGTTATTACCCGTCCCCTTGTGTGCTATGAAGGTTTTTCTGCATGTAAACGGTCTGCAGAGTCACAAACCCTCAAAGTACACCCTGTAGCGAGTAAAACTCTAACACAGAGAAGACCTGTCTATGCTGCCCCAGAACGCCTCGTTGGAGATTTCTCTTTCACATTTGTTTCTGGTCATAGTGACGTAACGCCGACCAAATGGACCAATCCGTGGAGCTCCGCACACACTCACTCAGCCTTATCTTTTCTCAGCCACGGCTCCGCTGAGTTTCGCCGTGTCTCGCCGTCCCGCAGACCCCACGCAGCAACCAGGAAACGACACCAGTAACCCAGCTCACACTGTCCGCTCCTCGAGCCTCAAAGGGCGGAGCAGCGAGCCCCACAACGTCCCGCCAACACGGCACCCAGACCCATTACTTGTGTCATTTTCTGGTTGCTAACAAACGCCATGGTAACACATAATCACTGATGTTCCGCTGTAACGGTGGTGGACTCATCAGAACAGAGTGGGCGAGCTGACCAATCAGAGCACAGTGGGCTCACAGGGAGGGGGGGCAGGAGCTCCAACAATGGAATTATGATCAGTAGAAATGGCCATGACATGGGACCTTTAACGTGTTGATGTGGTCAGATCATTTAGCTTTCTCTGAACTCCCTCTTACTGCGAGCGGCCAGGATGGCTCCGGTCAGCGCGCCGCTGGTTATAGAGTTCCACGGATCCTCTTTCCCTCTCAGACGAACCAAACCACAGTCGATGGTGGAGAAGAGACCGCCCCATATAGCAAAGCTACCTGAAAAACAAACCAAAAAACACCTGGTTCAATGTATGTTTTTAGTTTGAGGACACAATGATATCAATCCTGGTCTGTAGCATCCAAATATAACAAACTCTTTTTACAGGTCTTCATTTAATACACACGCACGCACCTGTAATTTAACTTCTATTATAGTAATGTGAGCTTTTTGTGTTTTTGTCTGGTTTAAAGTTTTCGACCCTGCCTGTTACGTTTGTTAATGATTTCTACATTAAGTTTTTACTGTGTTGAGGGATATTTTTTTTAACCTAAATAATCTTTTAGTCTGGTTTTGTTTCATCATTTTCTAGAAGGTTAAAGGTCTTTGTTATTTTGCTCAAATATGTTTAAAACGGAGATGATGTACAGTATTTTTGACACACAGGAACGTCAACCTGACATAGCGTATTAAGTCTAGTGTATTACAGTTATTTAAATCAGGGGCTGTTCAATTTCAAAAAAGAGAAAAAATAGTCCGTACCAGGATTTCATAAAATATTGAATAAACAAGACAATAGACCTAAACTTATATTAAAGGTAAGAAACTCTTTAACGCTAAGATGTTTGCTTCAAGTTTATCAAAACTCCAAGAGCTACAGTTATAGAAAATATTCATAAAAAAAGACTTCCTCACCTCCAATCTGCGGAGCTCTGACTCTCACTGCGTTTGCACTTCCTCTCAGTCTGTGTCCGACACCCTGAAACATTAAAGCTATGTTTAATGCCGCCTTTAAAACAACACAATGAGGCTCATCATAATTGTTATGTTGTGGTGTACTCACAGCGGGGGCATTACGAAAGCCCTTGATGGCCTGGAACACCCCTCCTCCAATAGTGCCCATAGTGAAAGCCCCCCCACAGTCATCCACTATCCTCCAGGGACTTAAGGAAGAGGGGGAGACAATGGAAGATACGATGAAGTATGTTATCGGATCAGCTGGAAAATGGACTGTCTTTCTGAGAAACTCTTCAAATATAGCGATACGTGGTTCTCACATGACGGCGACAAAGCTACAGAACATATGAATCTTAAACATACTAATAATGTAATATAACACTGTGCAATATATACATTTAAGGGTCATTCCAGAATTGGAGGACAATTTAGACACCAACACTTTTGAAAAATGAACCTTTTATTTTATAATTCATTTTTATGTATTTAGGAAAAACAGATAATAAACCATCAAAAAAAGTGATTTGCCCGGCTAAGGCATCAAATGTATATTTTCCAATGAAGAATTAACCCTGTTACTCTAATTATAGTAACAGAGTTGAAAATCAATGCTAATTTGAGCTTTAACCTCTGAATTACTGCTAGATGTAGATGTAATGCTACTTTCAAGGCAAACTTGGATATTTAATGAAAGAAAGATAACTTTGAAATTAATATGCTTTATTCTGATAATATGAGTAAGAGGGTTGAGTGGGTTAGAGTGCCACACTCTTTTAAAGGGCCCATGTCATGCTTTTCTGGTTATTACCCGTCCCATTGTGTGTTATGAAGGTTTTTCTGCATGTAAACGGTCTACAGAGTCACAAACCCTCAAAGTACACCCTGTAGGGAGTAAAACTCTAACACAGAGAAGACCTGTCTATGCTGCCCCAGAACGCCTCGTTGGAGATTTCTCTTTTTCCATTGTTTGCTTCCTGGGTTCTGTGACGTGTGAACACCCAAATCAACAACAAATGACCGGATTGGCCCAAATGGACCAATCCGCGGAGCCCCTCACACACCAGGATCCCTTGGCTAACTAACAGGGACTCCCATTGACTTGCATAGAGCTCCCTGAACGCTGGTAATAGACGAGATGGGATGGCTCTCCGCAGACCCATTCTCACAGCGTTAAAAACCTTTTTCTTACTCAATATCAAGCCACACTTATTGTTTTTACTTCGGCTGTGAGTGTTTGTGTGTGGTCAGGATGAGT